GTCTCCTGCAACCCTCTGCCAGTGAAAACGGAGCTCAGGAAGAGCGTGTGTGACCAGTCCTTCGCTGTGCCAGAGCGGCCCTCCAGGGCATATCCGGCCCCTGGGCCTTGAATTTGACACCCCTGCTGTAGACAGTCAACTTCTGAGGGCTGCTAAATTAAGATCTATTAAAAGTCTAGACTGTTGCTTCTTGACTTTCACAATTTGAAGATGTGTGGTCTTCAAGTCCCAGAATTCCATACCCAACACTGTCAGGGGACTTTTGGGAATTGAAATCCACAGATCTTCAAATTGCTGAAGTCAAGAAACATTGCCCTAGACTTTTAATAGATCTTAATTTAGCAGCCCTCAGAAGTTGACTACAGCAGGGGTGTCAAATTCAAGGCCCAGGGGCCGGATATGCCCTGGAGGGCCGCTCTGGAACAGCGAAGGACTGGTCACACACGCTCTTCCTGAGCTCCGTTTTCACTGGCAGAGGGTTGCAGGAGACCATCACAGCCGAAAACTGAGCTCGCGAGGTCTGCATGCAGCTCTCCTCAGCTCCATTTTCACTGGCAGAGAAATGCAGGCAGCCCTCATAGCCGAAAACAGAGCTTAGTAGCCACAGCCATCACAGGCTTCCCAGACATATGTGACGTCAAGCTGGCCACAGCCACCCTAGCCACAGCCACCCCAGCTCCCTGAGGTCAAACACAACTCTGATACGGCCCTCAATGAAATGGAGTTTGGCACCCCTGGTCTACCGTTAAGATTTGTCTAATTCAGATTAAAGGACAGACAACCTATTATTAAAAATCACTGTTGAATAGAAACAGTGTGGATCCTATCCTTGATACTACATTCCAGCATTAAATACAAATATAAATCTTCTCAAAAAATTTCTTGCAGCTTGGTTTCTTCAAGAGAAAATACAAGAAAATGGCAACAGATTTGGAAGACGCGGATGAGATTACAGGACTTAATAAAGACAGAGAATAAACATAGCAGAAATATTCCCGAATGTACGAATGTTGAGCCACAAACAGTGCTTGCGATCACACTGTTTAATTTCCACGAGTGCCTTATTCAAAGGTTTTACACTTTTTATAAGTGAAAATATTATACATATAACTGCTGGTCGGTTTGGGCTTTTGTTTACAGTTGTATAAAGATTTTGTTTTTATATTTTGTACTGTTAATAATGGATCCTCTGAATTGGCAGGCCCAGAACTAATGTTGAAATCTACCAGGAATACTGCTTTTTATCCTTGATAAGGGTACATGTGGAATAGTTTGTCTTTATTTACCAGTATAACAGGATCTGTTATTTTCATCCTGCAGTCAAAAACTGTCCTTGAGTTACTCAAAGGTTTACAGACATTGAGCAGTGCTAGCTCCTCAGTCGGTATCTGGATTCAAATATTACATTAAACCAGGGCTCTCAAAATCGTGGGCCAAATGCGTCACGTGCTAGTCACACCCACCCTTGGTTTAACGAAGGGGGAAATCTCGATTCATCATGTGTCGATGTAACGACATGACTTTGACACCCCTGCATCAAACCATAAATTGGTTTGTTTACTCTGTGACTAAATGTAATGTGAGCAGAAACCATTGTAGCTTAGCACAGAATTGCTCAACAGTATACAACCATTTGCAGCTTATTGTGGCACCAAAGAAACGATAGCACTTATTAGTTTAGGCACTGTCTAAAAAAGCTGGAGATGTGATTGCAAAGATTACTAACTGTGTTAGAGCAATATTGTATGACAAGATAAGAGCATGGCCTAGTATTGGCTGCGTACCCAAGCTGTAACAATAAACTGTACATTGAGAGTAGACCTTCTAAAATCATGTAGAAACATTCATGAATGATTCATTCTGACCGATTTTTATTATACTGGCTACCTTAATTATTTAATACTGATTTGATTTTAAATGCTATATTGATATAAGGACATCCACATGCAATACTAATCAAATGTCACTTTGAAATTTTTAATTTTGTTTTATATAACATGGAAACCTCTGATGCCTTTTTTCTAGCTTTCAAATAGCTCTTGAAATAAGTAAATAAACAATAAAAGGAAACTCAGTTTCTTTTCAGGGTTTTAAGGAGCAGTCAGGTTTTCTGAAGCAGCAAATGCTATAATCTAGATAACCAGCTTCCAGAATCCTCAGTGTACACCAGCCAAAAAAACAGAGTTTATTTCTCCATCACAAAACTGTTAAAGATTTTATTCGATTTAAGAGAGCAGAATGGCTGGCCTTATTTACAATTCTTGGTGTAAAGCAGTAGTTGTAAAGGAGTAAGTTACTAATTTCTGAACATTCATTAATTTGGATTTTAATGTTATTAACCATTGGATTAACCATTCCATAACAAACACTAGTAGACTTCCTCCTTAGCAACTACAATTGAGATTGGCAACTTATTTGTTAAGCAGAGTGGTTACCAAGTTAAAAATTACATGAGCATGACTGTGCTTATGATTTTACATAGGACTGCACGCACCGACTGTCTGTAATACCAAACGTGATTTAGACAAAGAGAGAGAGATGCTGCAGTCACAAATGTGATGTTTGAAGCAAAGTTACTTTTCCAACACGGTCATAACTGCAAACAGTAGATCTTTTCAGAATTTTTAAAAAATGTTAATTAAAAAATTTTTTTAGTATTAATTTATTCCTTTTCACCAATTGTTCTTTTCATTACATTTTTTAAGATGGCAAATCTCTAGGTTTTTTTTTAATGTGTTTTTATAAGATTCCAAATAGCATTACTTTAATGGGATTTAAAGCATATTAAGCTGTCAGAAATCGCTGGATTTTTTAAAAAAAATTAGATGTTGCAGAAGCAAGAGACAAGTACTTGTGAAAACAGGAGTAAATTGTATGCTTAATTTCCTCCTGCATATCTGCAGTGTCATGCAAATTCTTTCACTCTTGTTTACAATGTTGTTTATCCATTAAGTTTGTTCTTGATTATATTACATGTACTTAAAATCTTCAAACTCATCCTTCAGAACCCGTTACATTATATTTTAAGGGGAACATTTTAATTTTGGAATTGGGATGTTCTGATGGGTAATTAGGTTATTCTGCTTAGCTGCAGCCATTTATGCCACGGTTTCTGCATTCTTCACTAATATCAGAAGCATATATGCTCCTATCACTTATGCACTTACACAGCAGTAAATCTTTATTGACTAGAGTAAGGCATAACTTCTGAATGACTCAAGTCCATAACACTGGAAGATACATACTCTTACCTGTAATATATTATCTTTGTTGAAAATAACTAATAAATTATTGTCTTTACTTTTGTTCAACACTGCCTGAAATATCAGGAAGCTCTTTTTAAATTTCAGTTTATGTTTGTATGGGGAAGAAAATCCAGCCTAACATAATTAACTATAAGGCTGATTCATCATGTCTCTACACATCCCAATAGCATTAACACAGATGTTCCTGATGAATTTTAATTACCATTCTGCTTGAGTCAAGTGTTTTCACTGCTATTGGATGTGATGTAGAAAATATTGCTTTATGAATGGATATTCACATCAGGTGCAAAAATGGTACACATTTTTACTTCTAGAATCAAGTTTCATAGAACAAGGCACACAAAACTGTAAGCAGCTTATGTGAACCTAAGTGATGTGGTTAATTTAAAGTTCAAGCACATTGGTTCAATAAACGTTTGTGCTCTTTTATAATATTGTAGAATGTATGTAACAATTTTGTACTTTTCTGTATTTTTTATTTTTGTTAAAAAAAAATAGCAATTCAGTAAACAGGTGTATTGTACAGACAAAGCCTTTATGTATATTTTGCACTTTGTACCAAAACATATGAATATAGTGAAGCTTGCGTTTAAAGAAAGATGAATGAAACCTGTTGAATAAATTTTGAAATCACCCCACTGTAGACTCATTGCTGAATTATATTGCCTGGAAAGCGATCTAATACTGAAAGAAGTATATTGTTAGATCATCTACCTATCTGTACTTTGTTTCTCTTTGTTTTATTGAGCATGCATTTTAGGAGATAAAGAAAGGTCAGGGAACTTCAGGGCATCTATTGCATTTTTTTCCTTTCAAATTATTTGGTTCAAAAAATTGAACTATATTTGTATGGAAACAAGACAGCATTTGCAAAAATACAGCTTCATAGGTTGTTGCTGGTCTTTTTTTATTCTCCTAATGCAAAGTTCCCTGCTAAGAAAGCCAAATGTGTATAGTGCAGGGCTGTCAAACTCCCGGCCCATGGGCAGGATGCGTCACACGCTGGCCATGCCCACACCCGGTTTAGCAAAGAGGAAAGCCCCAATACATCACGTGATGCTGCCACGATGACACGAGTTTGACATCCCTGGCGTAGTGGTTAAGGCATTGAGTTAGGAACTGGGAGACTCTGATTTCTAGTTCTGCCTTAGCACAAACCCATCAGGGTGACCTTGGGCCAGTCACTCTCTCTCA